CTCCAGGATGCAGTGGAAGACAGGAGGGCCTGCCGTGCTCTGATCCATGGGGTCACGAAGAGTCGGACATGACTTAACAACTAAACAACAAAAGCCATAAAGTAGTAAAAGGTAAAGGTACAGGCTCCCCTTGACAATAAAGTCCAGTTGTGTCTGACTCTAGGGGCTGGTGCTCACCCCCATTTGTAAGCTGAAGGGCTGGCGTTTGCCCTTAAATTATTCCTCCAGCAAACCCATTTTAAGAGTTTTGTGTTGCTCCTTCTGATATGTGGCGGTTAAACATGTTTTTCTACAGGACAAATAGTCCTTCTTCCCTTGTTTATGAGCCTCATTCATGTTAGACTTGCCTTTGAAGTTTTTCCCTCTCGTGGAGTACACAACTATGTAGAAGGCAGAGCTTCAGTTTGCTCTTACAAGTTGCTGAATGCCCTTCACAGTAGCAAACTTTGGAAAGAACACACTCTCTGGGTCACAAAAGAGGTCCAACCAACACACGACCTCTATTTAAAAATAAATACACTCAATCAAGGAGAAGGAATCTGTCCTATAGAAAGGGTTTTACCAACAGCTAGTTAAATGCATTTTTCAGCTCCCCTAAGAGCAAGCTGGTAGCCATTTCCTTCAAATGAATAGCAAATACACAAGCAACAGGTAGAGTGTCATACTGCTGGATAGCTCAGTGGTTTAGGCATCTGGCTGCAGAGCCAAAGGTTGGGAGTTCAATTCCCCACTGTGTCTCCTTGACCGGTTAAACATGTTTTTCTACAGGACAAATGAATAGCAAATACACAAACAACAGGTAGAAAGTCATACTGCTGGATAGCTCAGTGGTTTAGGCATCTGGCTGCAGAGCCAAAGGTTGGGAGTTCAATTCCCCACTGTGTCTCCTTGACAGAAGCTGGACTTGATGATCTATAGGGTCTCTTCCAGCTCTGTACTTCCAAGATGATGATGATGATGATTAGAGCAATCATGCAAAATACTTTTCTGGTTCCCATCTATAGAATCTAGTTTGAATGTACACTAAATTATACAGCAAAATGAAGTGGAAAGATTTTTTTCTTGAAATGCACTAATTAAGTGCTTCCAGCTCTTAAAAATCCTAGTGTATCTCAGAATGACTTACAACTTTTTTTTACTTTTCTCTTGCTGCATAGAACCCAACAGTCCACTATTTCAGCGGCACCTCTGAGCTAAACAAAGCTTCCATGTTCGTTGGCAGTCCACCACTGAATAGCAACTGCTGTGCAGCAAATAATAAGGGAGGGTGAAAAAGCTTTTATCTGATGAAAAAGGATGTAGCAGAGCAACATAATTTGACAATGTGGTTTAAAATTCATTCTAATCCAGATATGATTATAATTTACAAAGCAAAAACTAGCAAGCGTAGCAAGGAGGAAAGTACCAGCACAAAACGATTATAATTTACAAAGCAAAAACTAGCAAGGAGGAAAGTACCAGCACAAAACATGCCAGATTGATTCTCTAGAACTGTTTTCTGTGTTAACATTAGAAGAGGTTAAGAAAAGAGTTCAAATCGATAACTTGGTATGCCATCTATTCCATATTCATACGAATTTAAAGACCATTTTGTATTCAACCCAAGCAGTTAAACTTCAGCCCAGGAAGTCACAGTTAGAATTCTACCCATTAATTTGGATCAAATGAAGTTGATGCCAGTTGCGTCAACGGTATATATGAATCAACAAACTCACTCAGTTCCCAATGCTGCCCAATCTTGCTCTCTGGTACAAGAACTTTTCCATGGCCTGCTCTTTATTTTAGGGATGCCATGGATGACAAGAGAACCTTATGTTCTCAAACCATGCGCTCAATGGCCAGGCTACATCCCTTTCAGCTTTTTCTCACTCAAAAACGTACACAGACAGGAAATCCCATTCCAATTCCTTGATATCGTATCTCATGGGGTCTTTAGACTACTGAGAAGAGCTCCATATTCATAGCATGGCTTGGGAGTGTCAGACACGTTGAATCCAAGTCACTAAGGATCTGATCCAAACATTCTATTTGTAAGTACTAGCCAATAAACAAATGTGTTTTACAAACAGACTCAACACCTTCTCCTTTACAAAGCAGCTGGACAGATGGGTCACAACAGAGAGGAAAGATAATAAAATGGATAGCATTATTTCATTAATTAGCTTTATGTTATAAGCTGCCCAGAGTAGTGGCTTGCCACTAAATGGGAAATATGGAAGTTGTTGTCATCACCATCACACAGTATTATAAGCTGCAGATCTTAGAAATAACACCATGAGAGCTACAAAAAACAACAATATTAGGATCAGCACATATACTGCACCAAAATTTAACAATAGAAATAACACCATGAGAGCTACAAAAAAACAGCAATATTAGGATCAGCATATATACTGCACCAATATTTAACAGATAGGTTTTTATCTGTTATATAATGCCAGTCAATGCATTATAATTTTGATTGACTGTGTCTGATAGTTTCAACAGCAACATTAATAATAATGGCTTAATATTCCCCTTTCCTAGGCAAACAACACTACAAAATGCTTTGCTCTACTAGCAGGCTAGAATAAAAGATTATCACCAGAAAAGTAATTTAGATTTCAGCATTAAGAAATTTTAGGGCATGTCAGCAAATATACAGTAAATGCAACAGAAACCAATACAACTAGTATCAAAGCAACAGTCTCTGCTCTAGATACTTAATGCAGACAGGTGAGCAGATACAATCTGCAGCAGTTATAGCTGACAAACTGTTTTTAGAAGCACTGTTGCCTAAATGACTGAAGTAGGGTCTGCTTTTTCCCCGTGAGGGTTCTAGCTTTATGGGCAAAAAAAAACACATCAACCATAGCTTCCAAATTAGAAATAGAGTTACCTTCTGAAGTAATGATGTTTGATTATCCTTTACAAGTTTTATAGCTCTACAAACTGGATATCATTTATTTACTTATTTACTTATTTACTTATTTATTTATTTATTTATTTGACTTATATACTGTCCATCTAGTCTACAAAAGTTAGCTTTTGTTCGGTAACAGGCCATCAACATGGCAGCTTTGAAGAATCTGTCTTCATAGGGACATTTTATTATCTTCTGACTGCAAAGTTTGATCTCCCAGAGATTAGCAGAAGCTGATGAAAAAAGGCTGTCTGATAACCAATGTCTTCGTCTCTCAACATAATTAGATTTGTGAGGGACACCCTAGCTAGAGATTTGAGCCTTATCAAAATAGGATTGATCTAAACAGAAGAGTTGTCTCTACACTGGGGACTCCCCACATTATTATAAGGTCTGAAAAACGAAGGGTTCCTGGTAACATGGAAGTGCTCCTTTGTTCAAATGCTCCTCCTGTTCAGGAGAGATTTATCTCTCCTTTCTCTGCTGACAACTTCTGATTAAAGCCTTTTACTGAATACTCAAATAGGGCTTTCATCTTTTAGGCGGAATGAAATCTCATCTGGTAATAATTCCATTCCTCTCCCTCCAAAACAAGCTAATTTCTCCTCTACAGGGCTCCAATCTTTCCTGAAGAATCATCTTGTTTGCCCGCATCCCCTGCATTCTCCAATACTGGCCTGCCTGGACTTTGGGATTTTCACAAGATACCCCTTCTCAGCCCCCACCTCTTAACAGACAGGTTAGAAAGGACCTTCCCGGAACCAGCTTTCATGCTCTGGATCAAATTAAGCCTGAACTCTGGAAACAAAAATGTTGAAACTGAGGCTGCCCTACTTTGGGCACATCATGAGCAGGCAAGATTCTCTGGAAAAGACAGTAATGCTAGGAAAGGTTGAAGGCAGCAGAAAAAGAAGGCCAAATACAAGATGGATTGACTCCACAAATGAAGCCACAGACTTGACTTTGCAAAAGTTGAGAATAGGACATGTTGGAGATCTCTCATTCATAGGGATGCCGCCTTATGACAGCACATAACAACAAAGTGCCAATTTTGGACTATAAATCCAGTAAATGAACAAGCAACCAAATAAATAAGACTGCCTTTGCACACTTGTTCAGGGTTTTCTACTGCCTCCTTAGCAAGTGGAAACAACAGGCAGAGCTGTCTCTGCCAATGTAAATACTGATGATGATTACCCATACATTAGGATGACTTTCACCAGACGCTTTATGGAGATGGTGAGGTCACAATTTACTGGGCACTGAGGGATGCAAGTTACGCTGGGTGAGAGAGGATAGATGCCTATACGCCCACACATACACAGCAATCCTCCTTCCTCATTCAGATGGCATGGAGAGCCTTCTCTCCACGTCCTCCCCAATCTATCTTGGCACAGATTACTCTCTCTTTGCGGTCGAGGGTAGCAGCAGGACAAAAACGATACACATGAAAGCAGCAGGCGATCGACCAGAAAGGGTTTGGTAATGGCAACAAAGCACAATTAAGACTGTAGGGGAGCCACATTACAGTCCTCAGGTGGACATCCTACAACTGACGTTGCCAGTAGCCTCAGAGAACTGCTGTGCTTCTCCAGGTGAGGGAACAACTTTAAGTGGAAGAAGAACAAAGTTTGATTTTATTGAATGTCCACTTATTCATTTTAGGAGGTAATACTGAAAATCCAATTTTGCCTGTTTCTCTCTCTCTCTCTCTCTCACACACACACATACACACACATACACACAGAGACATCAGTTTCCTGATGTCCCATCATACACCCTGTTTTCCCGAAAACAAGACCTAACCTGAAAATAAGCCCTAGTATGATTTTTTCAGGATGCTCATAAGCCCTACCCCAAAAACAAGCCCCAGTGAAGTGAAACCCCACCCTCCACCATTGTGTAGCAACCAGAAGATGACAGGAATGTATCTGAATAAATGTAGATTGCTGTACATGAAAAAAATGCGTTTTTGGAGCAAAAATTAAGACCCTGTCTTATTTTCGGGGAAACACGGTAGATGTAAACTATTCAAGAGCAAGTTAAGAGGGGTGGGAAGAGTTGTGAAAATACAGGTACTTCACACGGACATGCGCAGCAGCAGTTTCACAAATGATGTCAAATGCTTAGTTTTGCCCTTAAAAGTTTTGCCTGAATTTCTGTAAAATTCTCCACTGATTTAAAAAGAATGTGTGGTAAGACAGCAAAGATTTTAAATTACCTGGTCACACCATATTCTGGGGGAGCTTGGTAGCGGACCACCGCAACTTCACTCCTCGCTGGCTGTGGAGCTGAATACGATGGATTCACAGCTTCCTGGATCATTCCGGAAGGTTGGTCATTAAAGAACACCCCATGCTCCTGAGATTTGCTCAGGGGAGAGACCACCTGCTTGTTTTTGAATGGATAGTCAGGTGGCGGCCCTCTCGGATCCATGCCTTTGTTGGCAGCCTGGGAAGAGTTCGGCCCTGCAGGCTTGAGGCCTTTACTTCTCCATGAGGTGAGGGGCTGCTGTTTGGCACCATTTCTCTCCAATGACAGCTGCATTATCCTTTCACTCAAGGAGCGGACATGGCCTTGCTTTAGTTCCTTCAGCACTTCGTCTTTGTGTGCCTGCCCACTGTTGGCTCGGGCCAAAGTCGGCCTCCCTTCTGTTCTAGATTTTGTGCAGGAGGTTCCAGACACATAAAATCCGGTCCCCATGGCACTGGGCTGCTGCTGACCCCTGAAAAACTGAGACTGGGCTTTGGCCTCTTCATAAGTTGGGAGTTCCTCATTGTTTTGCTGAGGCTGGGAGCCTCTGGACTGCTTCTCCATCACAGAACTATCCCCTTGGTGCTCCTGGCCCTGAGGTTCTTGGCGGGCTGACTCCTGGACCATTTGTGGGTCTTCTGGCACCAGGTTCTCCGTGGAAGAAGAGAGCGCAGCGGTAGTGGAGTTGGTTGGTCCTGCGCTCCCTGTGGCCTGCTGCTGGATAGCCAGCAGGTTCATGTTCTCGTTCGGGTTGCCATAGCGCAACTCCTGGATCAAGCGCTGTAACACGGTGCCAGGCGCAACGTCTTCCGAACCTCTCATTTCCACCTCTGAGACTTGGAGAAAGTTTGGTGGGTAGAAGTGGCAAGGAAGGTCTTCTGCCAGGGAAAAGAAGATGAGAAGTGGGGATGCAAAGGGTTTTGAAGTATTCCATATACAGTATTTTAAGAACAGCTACTTTTCTCCTTATGCTATGCTACAGATCCTGATTTTGCATCCCAGTCCACCCACAAAGAGTCATCAATTGACACTGAACAAGTTCATCATTTTCTTGATCATCCCAGAGCACAGAACACACAACACTCAGGTTAAGTTAAAGGAAGCCAGATTTCGGTTGAATATCAGGAAAAACTTCCTAACTGTTAGAGCAATGGAACCAGTTACCTCAGGAGTTGGTGAGTGCTCCAACACTGGAGGCAATCAAGAAAAACTTGGGATAATCACCTGGCAGAAATGCTTCGATTGTATTCCTGCACTGATCAGGGGGTTGGATTTGATGGGCTTGTAGGCCCTTTCCAACTTCCTTTTTTCTATGATTCTATAATCAACTTTCTAATTAAATTATCTCACAGCAATATAGTGAAAATAGATATTGTGTAGGGACATTGGAAGCCATAGCCCCCATAAGTAATTTTCCCAAGCTTTGCCCACAATCCATCCTGGTAAGCGAGAGACTGAAAGCAGGGCTGATCCACGAGGCTTTGCTGAACAAGGCAAAAGGCGAAACGGCAGATGGGAAAACTAAATCTCATTTCAGTGATGTGTATTTTTCATGCACTTGAGGGCAGAAAGCTTCTTTTGGGTTAAAGAGAAGGTTGTGTGGCATGCTCACTAGTAGGAGGCATCCTTCAGTCTCGAGAGACTATGGTAACATGCTCTGTATGGAGGACTTGGAACAGTCTTTAGTGTGGCTGAGAAGGCCAATTCGAGAGTGACTATCCCTTCCACACTGAAGACAAATCCAATCTGTCCCCTGTCCAGCTCCCTTATTTTGCTGCTTTTGTGACTTCCTCTTTGCCTTGGCCTGCGGGATAAGAGTCTCCTCAAATTGGGAGAGGCCATGATGCACCACCTGCCTCCAGGCTGAACCCTCAGATGTCAGGGTTTCCCATCTGTTGAGATCCATTTCCAAGGCCTTCAGATCCCGCTTGCAGATATCCCTCTGGGGCGATTTCCCTGCACTAATTCTCCATACAGGAGATCTTTTGGAATCCTTTTGGAATTGGCATGCTCACTAGATAAGTGTCATTCTCCCCCACAGTCCCAGAACTCCTCATTCTGAGAGTTCCACTTGCCAGATCCACACCTCAGTTGTGTTCACCGGGAAGGAGGCTAGAAGGCTAAGCTCCAACCTAGCTATCTGTTAGAGAAGAATGTTGCCCCAGTGCTTGCTGGCAACAAATGGTACACACCTACTCACTGCTCCACATCCCCTAGGATCCATTTTCTGAGGATTTTCCACCTACTCACTGCTCCACATCCCCTAGGATCTATTTTCTAAGGCATTCACTTTGGTCTGTCCTATGGTGCTCCCTCCCTTATCCCAAAGGAACCCATTGTCGAATAAAAGACAGTAGGAAAGGACTAAGATCAGTAGAGAATGCCACTAAATGAGCATATCCACGGAGCTGCCTTTCAGACAGATTGTCTTTTTGCTTCTTCCATCCCCCAGCCAGAATGGCTGTGCCTTGCTGACATTGATGGAAGCCGTATTCTAATATTTCTGAAAATCTGAGGCAGAATTTAGCTTCACAAGCACAAAGAACTCACCTTCAGTATCGCCCGTCACCTCAACCATTAACGGGGAACCATCTTGCCTGCTGTCAAACAGCTGGGGCTCAACATTAAGACAGCCACTTTCTTCCAGTATCTGGACCGGAGTACTGGAAGTGTAGCAAATTGATGGTGGCCCTGCCAGAAAAGCAGAAACAGAAATTAAAAAGTCATTTGTAAATAAACCATTCACATGAAAAGCATTTTTCCTGCGGTGAGTCACGCCTGTTGCTTCTAAACTATGTTTAGACATAACCAGACAAATAGAACTAAAAAGACATCCAGTCTTCTAAAAAAGGCACTTCTTGGTGGGTCACATCTTTTCAAACACCCACCTGAACACTGGAGTGTGTAAGGAAACACACCTTCATGCAATAAAAATGGAACTTAACATCATATGCTTGCCATTGAACTACAGTAGAGAAGTTCCAGGGCATATTTCCCCAACTTAATTCAGATATTTTGAATGACAGCTACTCATCATTGGTTATCCTTGCTGGGGATGATGGGACATGAAGTAGCAGAATGGTGAAAACTACACTAAAAATCTTAAGCATACACATACATACACACACAGAGGAAATGTTCCTTTCTTTGGACTGCAGTTACCAGAATAACCCACCAAGTACAGCGGTGCCTCGCATAGCGGTCCCTCGCTATGCGAAAACATTGCTAAACGGAACGTAAAAACCCATTGGAACGCATTAGACATCGTTTAATGCGTTCCAATGGGCCCTAAACTTACCATTCAGCGAAGTTTCCTCCATAGCGGCAGCCATTTTTGCGCCCTCGATAAGTGAGGGGAGGGTGCAAAAACGCTGCGCGTGGCCATTTTGGGGCTTCCGGCGGGCATTTTGGAACTGCCTAACAGCTGATCTGCGGGCATCGCAACGGGAAGATCGGTAAGCGAAACACTTACCGATCGTCGCTATGTGAGTTTTGCCCATTGCGACTGTCGGTATGCCTCCGCATTAGCAATCCCGAAAAAGGGATCGCTATGCAGATTCGTCGTTATACGGTGCGCATGTTAAGCGAGGCACCACTGTACCACCAACAGTCAGGAATCTGGAACTGACCTTGCTTATTCCTGGAATCTTATGGGTAGTGATATATAGAGAGAAATCCCAGACCCTTCATCTTCTTAACCTTCCTGTCCCCTCAACAATGTATTCCATCTTTTTTCTTCAGAAAAAAAGATCTTACAGAGGAAAAGACAGAGTAAAACCTTTTGATTTGTAGCACTTGGGGTCCCCTTTCTAGAAGTTCCATTCAAAAGATCTATCTTATAGATTGGTTCCCAACCGTGGGTAACCCAGCTATTATTGGACTGCAACTCCCAGAAACCGCAGCCAGCATAGCTATTGGAACTGGCAATCCAAGAACACCTGCCTTACCCAATTTTGTGTTATAGATTGGTAGCCAGTGTGTAGAGTAGTTAAGGTGCCAGACTGTGGCCAGGAGCATGCTCAGGTCCTCACCACACCATGAGCATCTTTAGGAAACCTGAGTCTAGTCTTACCTTCCTCATAAGAGTGTTGTGAGGATAAAGCGGGGAGGTAAAGAATTATGCCATGATTTTCAGTGTGGTGTAGTGTAGTGGTCCCCAACCTTTTTGACACCAGGGACTGGTTTAGTTGAAAACCACTCTCCCAAGGATTGGGGGAGAGGGTATTTCTTATGCAGTAGGTTGTTGGAGGATAGCTTTGAATCGAGCTCATAAAGGAACTGGTGAGCAGGAGGTGAGCTGCAATTGAAGCTCCATCTCCTGTTAGATCAGGAGCAGCTTAGAATCTAATAGGAGTGCAGGCTCCTATGAGATTCTAATGCCACAGGCACAGCTGATCTAGCAGCAGGAAGAGGAGAGTGGGAAGCGAAGTCCCGCCTCCTGTCAGATCAGCAGCGGCATTAGAACCTAATAGGAGCGCTCCGACAGGAGCCGGAGCTTCGCTCACCGCTCACTTCCTGCTCGCCGCTCACTTCCTGCTCGCCGCTCATCGGTCCTGGCGGCCCGGTCCTTCCAAGGCCACGGACCAGGGGTTGGGGACCCCTGGTGTAGTGGATAGAGTGATTGACTAAGACCCCGGAGAACAGCATTTGAATACCCACCTGGCCATGGAAACTCATTGGGGGAATGGAAGTGGTAAAATGACTCCTTAAATATTTCACTCATCCTGAAAACCCTATTACGGTTGCTATAAGTCAGTTCCAACTTCACAGCACAGAATACACAAACACAGAATAATATATACCACTTTAAGTGGAATCGGAGGAAAGGGTGAGATATAAACACAGCTAATACAAAACACATGTATTTTTAAATTACATGTTAATACAAAACACAGCATTTTTAAATTACAACTTCCAGAACCCTCCCCCCCAAGCCAGCCTGGCTACAGCTGTGACAGCTGGAAGACACTGAGACTTACATTCACCTCTCCAATTTTTTTTCCAAGGCCCGCTAATGAACACAGACCTACACACACCACCTAAGCACAATGATGTCATGCCTGGACCACACAATTTGAGGTGTTCAGTGTTTCCACAAATGCTCTTCATTCATGTAAAAGGAGAAAGAAAGAGAAAAAGGGAAGAAAAAAGTGCCCGGGCAACCCATGTATATCTAAAAACTACTGTTTTCCATTATTGATGCCCGTTTCTTATCCTAAACAATTCTGTCTATTTTTTTAAAAAGGAATTAGGGCAAAAAGTCATTGTTAGCATCACCTCTGAAAATGCCTTTAGACTGTATTTCTATAGTGATATTGAGGTTATATTTATATGTTAGAGTATATTTTAAACGCAAGATCTGTATGTCAACAATTTTTAAAAAACAGAAAAAGCAAACAGAGGTACATCAACATTGTTTTACAACTCCTAACATTCAAAGTCAACTTCTGATTGCATAATTTACTCCAGTTCCCGCCCCCCCCCCGGTAAGGCTTTTGCAGAATACGTCCCTCTATCAATTTCACTGTTTACTGTAGTAACTTTGTAGGTTCCGTCAGTGGAATAGTAAACACAATTCTAGAATGAAAGTTACACGGACAACAGTCCCTAGTTTGCATGAAAGAGATAACAACGGCTTTGAAAGTCCAGCATTTGGCAAAGGGCCACAAGCAGAAGAATGCAAACATAGAAGCTATTTTTTAGCTTCAGTGCACCAAACACAGGCGGAGGAAAACACTTCCTCTGTTCGTCCTGGGTTGTTCACAGCATTCCCTGCTTTTGCCGTACTTCCCCTATCCAAACCACTCACTTTGCTCCTTGTCCCCAATTTAGGGCAATCTCAGCTGCCTTTTGGCACCAAAGGGCAATTTCTTTCTGAAGCAAACAGGGATGGCAGTGGAGGATAAGGGTTCAAGTGGGAGCAGAGAGTTAATGCCTCTCCCCATCACAGTCATAATCTCACCCTCCCTTCTCCCCTCTCCCACAAGTTTTTTTAAAGAATCAATTTATAACTTCATGAACTTCATGCCTGCATAGTCCTAAAATCAGCATTATTTCTGCAATGCAGAAAACTAAACAACTTTAGCTGAAAGAAGAAAAACTTTGCAAGTGGTTACTGGCTATGCTTTTTCAGGGATCCTGGGGATCCTATTTAAAAAAAACAGACAACTCACCTTTGGTTAGCCCACTGCATATAGTACAGTATATACATCAGGCCAGTGGTTCCCAACCTTGGGTAACCAGGTGTTCTTGGACAGCAACTCCCAGAAACCCCAGCCAGCACAGCTGGTGATGAAGGCTTCTGGGAATTGTAGTCCAAGAGCACCTGGGTGACCTAAAGTTGGGAATCACTGCACTAGGCAAAATGCTTCTTTTTAAATGTCTAAACTATCTGCCCTGTGAAAGCCATCAGAATGTCACCAATCTGAACCATACATACATACTCAGGCACAATAATCTGATGCATGTCCACCCCTGTAAATTATATAAATTAGGCCTTTTTTCCTCCGTTGTTTTTGATACCAGAATAAGATCAATTAAATGAAAAACTTACATGACATGAACGATCTCCACCCACGCAGACCATATCCTTCCTATGTACTTGTGAAGTCTGAATAAATAAGAGTGGAGGAAATTGACCTGTTTAGTCTAGAGGCACTAGTAAAAATCTCCTGTTGGCTGAAACAAAGTCTCTCTTGTCTAATGCTTTTTCCAAAGTAAGGAGACGAATGCTTCTGGTTTCTCATAAGTAGTGCACTATGATGATGATCAGGAAGGGGATGATGACAAACAGCCACCATCCCTCCAACATCTGGCACTCAGAGAAGTCAAGTGCTTCCAAACATGGTGACGTAGACCACATCAATAAAAAGCACCAAGAAATCCCATGGCCAAAAAAAGAGCAGAACAGCATCTGGTATTGTAACTACTTAAAAACCATTTTAATCCTTCTAGAGGTAGAAATCTGCATCACAGACTAGTAAACTGAATAATCTCCCTGCAAATGCATGGAGAAATAACTTCTTAACTGTCATCCAAGATTAGAGGTGGAGAACATATGGCCCTAAGAATGCTATTGAATTACAGCTTCCTACATCTCTCATCACCATCTAGGCTGGCTACAGCTGATGGCCGCCACAACCTGGCCAGCTACAGAGCATTCCACAGCCTTGTGAGGGATAATACAGAGGCTTCCTTCCAAAGGAACAAAAGAGACAGTGAACTAATAATGAACACTATTAATTAATTCATATGACTAATAACTAACCATGAAAGCTAGCAGTTGGAGTCAGGTTCAATTTTCCCTACCACTGGGAAACTCACAACATCTGGCCTTTCATTCTCTTTCAGCCTGACCTAATTCACAGGGTGGTTGTAATGGCACAACAGGGGAAGAATAGCCCGCCATGTTGCCCTGAAATCACTGTCGAAAATGGAAGGACAAGCCTGTTACTAAGAAATAATGCCTGTAATAGTAGTAGTGCTGTAGTCACAGAACTCATATTCATTCCAGTTAGACCTGTCTAGGTGAATGTCTTAGTAGACTGCATCTAGGGATGGGGTGTGGGAGGTTTATTTGTTAATTTTCATTTTCTGAACCAATATATGAACCAAAACACACTTGTTTTGTGATGCAGTTCTCAAGGCAAGGCAAACAAAACTTATACATCAGGGAAAGGTGCACAGAGAAA